ATGAAGAGACTACATCTTCTATATTAGAACTATCTGTCTTCCCTTTAAGGAGGGTGGTCTTGGTATTAGACATCTACAAGATGTAAAACTGGCTGGCATGATGAAGCTTGCTTGGAGGCTAGATGCAAACCCCTTCTCTCTTATTTCTAGATTTTTCCAACACATGTATTTCAGAAACTCCTCCATATGGCTCTCTAAAACCAAAAATGCATCTCACGCTTGGAAGGGCATCTCTTGTGGTTTAAATAGACTCAAGCGCAATGTTAAGTGGGTTGTGGGTAACGGTAATTCCCTCAAATTTTGGGTAGATCCATGGCTTTCAGAGGTCTCTCTCAGGGATGAGTTTGGACATAATATACATAAGGACTTGCCTCTACTTGTGACGTCTAGTTTAGCTGATTTTCTCTTTGATAATCCCCAACAATGGTGTCTGCCTTACGCTTGGAGACGAGGCCTCCACCAGAGAGATCTTCAAAAATTTATGGGCTTCTCATTCCCATCCTCGGGCCAAATGGTTCACTTGGATTGCCCTTCATTTTCGCCTCCCTACATCTGAACTACTACAATGCAGAGGGATCCATCTAATACACCGTTGCCCTTTGTGCCTTACTGAAGGTGATTATGTTAACCATATTATTTTGTTATGTACTTTCTCTCAGTTCTCTGGCGGTCTATTATGTGGCGATGTGGCAAAAGTTTCTCTATATGCCCATCAATACCTTCAATATTTGAGAGCTAAGTCAAATTCCGGTTCCGTTAGCAGGATTACATAATGTTTGGATCTCTCTATTCTCCACAACCATCTGGCTCCTCTGTACTGAAATGAATTTGTGTATCTTTGAAGGAAAGAGACCCAAAAGAGAGCAATTGTTGCACCAGATCATTTCTATTGTTGCAAGCTTAGCAAAGGTGAAAGGATGGACTTTCCAACCCATTAGAGAAGCCTATATTTAATAACCTCAAAATCCAGTGGCACCCAATGCATCCTAAAACTTTGATTTTGGTCTCATGGTCTCCACCCCCCAGCAAGTCTCTATAAACTAAACATTGATGGATCGTCCCTTGACAACCCTAGAGCAGCTAGTTGTGGAAGAATTATCAAAAATGATATGGGAGGGCTTTGTACCACTTTCGTTGTTCCTCTAGGGCACACATCCAACAATGTTGCTGAATTTTCAACCCTTGAAAGGGGCATTCAGCTAGCTATTGATCTGCATTGCTTTCGACTGCTCATTGAAAGCGATTCTCATATTCTAATGCATTCCCTTCACGGCCGCCATAAGCCCCCTTGGAATCTTAGTATTATGACCGTAAATTGCATTTACCACCTGGATGGCCGCCCCTGGAGTATTAAGCATGTCTACTGAAAGGCCAACTCGACGACCGATCACTTGGCCAAGAGCACTACAAGTCTCTCTGAGGCCACAGTTTCGCGTGCCCAGCCACCTAATTTTATTTCTCCTCTAATTTCCTCTAATATGGCCAGGACTTTGCATGAAAGAATTGTACCATCGTAATTATTAATGAAAATCGAGTAGGGGCCCAAATCCCCACTGAATTACCCAAAAAAATATAAAGAGAGGAATTTTAGGAGGGGACTTAAATAGTCATATAGGAAAAGATAGTAGAGAACATAAACTGGTACATATAAGATATGGTTTTGGAGAAAGAAATAGGATGAGTAATGTTATTCTTGATTTTGCTATGACTTACGACCTAGCAAGCAAACATGTAATATAAAAAGTGAGAAAAACATATAATATATAGAGTGAGAAAAACCATTGACTAACTTACAAAAGAGGTTCATATCTAAGCCGCAAAGATTTTTTTTTCTAGTTAAGAAGGAAGAACAATCATCATGTTTCTCCCTTTTTAAGTTCCATCACTTAAATCATGGACACCTATTAATGTTGCTCATCTTTCATCACTTTATGTAAACATCCAAAACAATGAATCTATGTTATGTCGTCAAACTCTCTCCTGGGAGAACCTGGCAGTCTTTACAAACTTATTTGAGAATAAAATGATGAAAGAAGGAAAATAGAATTCTATGGACAAAGTTAATATAACATAAAATGAGATGATTGCTTGTATTAAGAAAGTGGCAAAAGAAGTTTCAAGCTAATCTAGAGGAAAAAGACTTTCAGATAAAACTCGGTGGTGGAATGATGAGGTTCAAAAGGCTATTAGCAAAAAAACAATCATATTACAAAGATTGGCAAGGGAATAGAAACTATCAGAATTTAGAAGAGTATAGAAACGACAAGAGGAACGCAAAGAAAGTAGGAAGGCTAAGCTTAAGACATGATGATATATACAAAAATTGAGGATAACAGAAGGAGAAAAAAATGTCTTCAAACTAGCAAAAATGAGAGAGATGAAGTGTAGGGATCTAGATCATGTTAAATGCATTAAAAGCAAGGATTATAACGCCTTGGTGAAGGATGACGAGGTCAATGAAAGGTGGAGAATTCAATTTTGAAAATTGTAAAATGACAACCACTTTAGGAACATAGCCGTAGCAGGAACCTTTGACATAAATAAGGTCGGAAGCTATATATACATTCGTAAGAATAGGATATCTAAAATAAAAGAAGTTTTGAGAAATATGAAGATAGGAAAGGCTCTAGGACCAAAACGTATATACCAACAAAAGTTTGGAAGTGCATGGGAGATATTGACATATACTGGTTGATCAAGCTATTCAACAAGATTTTGAAAACAACAAAAATATCATAATGCCAAAGGAATGGAGAAAAAATATTATAGTATCTATTTACAAGAACAAAGGAGACGTCCAGAGTTGTATTAACTATCGAATGACCAAACTTATAAACCATATTATGAAACTATGGGATAAGGTAATTGAGCAATGACTACGACATGAAACAAGTGTATTTGAAAATCAATTCAGATTTTTGCCCGAGAGGTCAACCATTGAGGCCACTTTCTTATTTAATCAATTGAGAAGAGAAAAAAAATCCCCACATCGCATTTTTTTGATTTAGAGAAAATATATGATAGAGTATCTAAAGCGTTAATTTGGTGGGTGATGGAAAAGAAATGAGTCTCTAGAAGATATATTGATATGGTAAAGGGTAAGTAGAGGGAGCGCTAACTAGTTTAAAGACAACTAGTAGAGAGAAGTGAATTTTCAATGATAGTAGGTCTACATTAGGAGTAGTGTTGAGCTCATATCTCTTTACATTGGTTATGGACGAGTTAACTAGACTTCTAGAAGATGAGGTACTGTAGGGTATGCTATTCAAAGATGACATAGCTTGGATTAATGAGACTAGAAACGACATCTACACAAAATTTGAACTTTGAAGGGATGCTACAGAATTAAAAGGTTTTAAAAATTAGCCAAAGACATAATATATAGAATGCAATTTAATAATAATAAGAGTAGAAACGAGAAATTATTTAAGATTGATGGCCAAGAAGTACCTTATCATCATCATCTGAGTCTTATCCCAACTATGTAGGATTGGTTAAAAGAGATTATTTTCGATACCTGGGTTGATAATCCATGAGGATGCAAATATTAAAAAAGATGTATCGCATAAAAGTAGATTGGGGTAGATGAAGTAGAAATGTACTTTTAGAATCTTATGTGATCGTCGTATACTAATGAAATTGAAAGAAAACTCTATATAGGACGATTGTAAGACTAACCATGTTTTATACGATAGAATATTAGGCAATCAAGAAACAACATATCCATAGAATTTGTGAAGTTTAGATGGGGACGTTAAGATGTATAAGTGGCAGGACAAAAAAGAACAGAGTTTGGAATGAATACATCCAAGATAAATCAATAGCAGCCCACTATAGGCAATATGATAAGGGAAAATAAGATGAAAGGAAATAGACTTGTGGTTTGGTCATGTGCATAGTCAACTTATAACAGCAACAATTAAGATGGGTGATTTGGCTCAAATGGAAGGCTCTAAAAGGTCAAAGAAAAAGCCCAAAAGGAGATTTGATGGAAGTTGTAAGAAGATATATGGTAACTTATAATATGACCGAGGATATGACTCTGGATGAATATATGATTTTTAAATTTTAGTTTGGAAAAAGTTTATATAAGGGCACAACCTTAAAATGTAGAAAAAATACACCTCAAAAATTTATCAAAAAATATTGTTTTCATGACGAAAAACCCTCTAATTGATCATCTCGACCTCGAGATGATCATCATCTCGACCTCGAGATGATCATCTCGACCTTGAGATGTACAGATGTAAGGGAAAAAAAAAAAACAATTTAAAGCACAAAAAATGGTGCATCTTGTAAACCGTCAATTCTCAAGATTTATGTGTTTCTAAATCTGCTCGATCTATACTATTTTTTGAGTTTTAAATTTCATAATTATATGTGAACTAGTTTTTCATATCATCATTGAAATTTCGAACACCAAAATTACATCTTTCCATAAACTTTTGATGGTGTCTTAATTGGATTGTATAACAAATTATATATATAAAAGGATGGATTCTAAGAACAACAAGGGTAGGGATCCATACCATTCTGGAACCATATTAATCCCGACGAATTCCCAATCCAGATCAGGAATCGCCGAATATTGAAAAATTGTTTATATACAAAACTAAGACATGGAATGTTGCGTTGTTGTCTTGGCTCTGCATGTTAGAGGGAAAGAAAGAAGCATAAAGGTGGGACAGGGAATCTCTTCCAATAGGGTTGGCAAAGGGCAACCAGGCCAGCCCTAGCTCGAGCATGACCTGAGCCCCAATAGGGTCGGCCCATAATTTGGAGTGCATCGTTCACCCCACAGATCCGTGTCCAATCATTGGATCGGCAATCCAGTTCCGTCTAAATCTGTTTGAAGCGGTGATCCAAAAATATATATAATAAAATAAAAAATTTAATAAAAAAAATTAAAGCAGACATTTCTGGGGTGGAGATTTAAGGGGTCCTAAAAAAAAACTAGATAAGCTTAAAAAGGCAAAAGAAAAAACTAAGAAATGGGGGTTCTAGAGAAAAACAGGGTACAGACCAATATCATCCTTGAACCAGTTCAGTCCCAGTCGATTCCCAATCTGAATCAAGAAGCACCACATTTTAAAATATGGTTCCTACACAAAACTAAGAATGCTCTGCAGGCTTGGCTTTGCGTGCTACAGAGAGAGAAGCATAGAGGTGAGGGAGAATCCATTATAGGTTTCAATCGGGTTCGCAAAGGGCAGGGCTTCAGCCAAGCCAACTGTAGCCCGAGCAAGGCACAAATCCCAGTAGGGCTGGCCCAAGCCGAGCCCTACCTGGAATCAACCAAAGGGGCCCAAGCCGAGCCCTACCTGGAATCAACCAAAGGGGCCCAAGCCTGGTCTGGTCCAAGCCAAATGCCTAATAGACTCAAAAGAAAAAAAGTACAAAACTAAAGACGAAATTGGCCAGGACAAGCAGGCCCTATCGTAGCCCTCGCCAGGGCTGAACCCAACCTCTTCCTCAGGCCGTGGTGGCCAAGCCCTTGGGCCAAACTTTAAAGCCAAACCTTGGTTTTTTCAATGCCGGGCCGATTCTAGTCGTTACAAGGGTGTCAATTGCGAGAGAGAGAGAGAGAGAGAGAGAGAGGTGGGTTGTACATATCTAACTAAATAATATTAGAGTATATAACTTACACTATACTAACTAACTACGTCGATAATTAGTAAAGAAAACGACTAGTT